TCCGGCGTGAGCGCGAACAAGTGGTACCCGCTGCTGCTGCCCGCTACCAGCGACCTACCACAAATGGCACCATACAATACCACACACCGAGCATGCGCTGCACACTTTAATAAACTTTATTAGTCGCCAGCAAAATTTGTTAGCGCGGAAATTAAAAGAAGAATGGGTCTATAACATTCTCGCGTTTATCTATCTTCTACCAGCTGCCTTCCAGTCAGAGTCGAGTTGTCTGTGCCGGCGTGAAGACAAAGCGAATGGCATCTCTTTCGTCAAAGGCCGTTGGCCATCAATGGAGTTTATATACATAAAAGAAACTGATACATGCGTGAAAAACAATACCCTTTTTGTCAGTCAGGTATCATAAGAACATGATTTCCCATATTTTTTTATTTAATTAAATGAAAGAATTAAATTTTGGATTTTATTTTTCTTTATATTATAAAAACTTTATTTCATTGTTTATATTACATAAAACTTTTATTTGCAAATGTCAAAATTCAAATGTTTAATGACAATGAAGGACTTTGCCATTTGTAAACAATTATGGCCATGGCCATGACCATGGCATCTTTCTTCTTTCTTGCTTGTAGTTTTTGTTCCCGTCACGCTCAATAGTTTTTCTCAAACTATCCACTACCAAAATTAAATATTGTGAACATATGTAGCCTATAGTAGTGATGTGCCAACTTGGGAATAACAAATCTTGATTTAACTCGAGTCCAAAATCCACATAACTCAGGTTGAACTCGAGTTAACTGGATGGACAAGTAAATGTTATTTTGAGTTTTTTCTAAATATTTTCTCACCTTGGCATAAAATTGGAACAGACAAATTATATTTTTTATCTGTTTCAATTCTTTATTTTTTATATTATTTATTTATAATGTATTGGGAGAGTTGCACCTACTATCTAAAGAAACAAAAAAAATTATTGTTTGAAATTAAAACATCTATTTAAATGTTTTTGGCTCGAATTTTAATAAAAACAAATTTTACTATCAACTGAACTATGAAGTTATATAGCAGTCTTTTTAAAACAAAATCAAACTAATGTTATGATGAAACTATATGCGTAAGTATTTACAGACGCATAGTTGTTTTATATGCACTGATAATCACAATATTTTTATGAAAGTAATTAGAATCACAAAGAATTCTTTTTCCTAATGTTAGATATTTCGACACAAATGACTACCTTTTAAATAGACGGATGGATTTATTTTTTATAATGAGAAAAGTAAAATGCATTTGACTGTTTTCAACTTCGAAATTCAAAATCTTTTTACAGAAAAACTAAAAACTCTCAAACGACATTTCTATCCTCTTAATTTCTCTCACGCGATGCTCTAGCGATTTGCATGAGAAAAAAAAAACAAATGAAGTGGGGGGCCACTTCACGTTAAAAAATTAAATTGCTTTCACGGAGGAAGTAGAAACTTTCAAACGAATTTTTTTTCCTCTCAAACCCTCCCAACTATTCTCAAACAATTTGCATAAAACAAAGAAAGTGAGGGTCTAACTTCATGGAGGTTGTTTGTTCAGGCTTTTTAAATAATTATACAAACATATGGAGTGATTCCTGACATCCTACATAAAAATGTGTTTACATTTTATTACATTAGTATGTATAGATAAGGCAAACTGGGTAACTTATTAAAATTAAGCCATTTAACAATGTGTCTCTAACCATTGACACAACTTTATAAGCAAGGCCAATGGCCAGTACAGGAAGTCTAGCCACTAACAAAGTGAAGAACAAATTGGACCAAATGTATACACAATTGTAATACCAAAGAAGAAAACTCCTGGTTTCATCAACTGCATTCTCTCCTATAAATTCAGAAAGAAAAATAGATTATCAACCAGATTTCATTATGACTTTTCATTTTTCACTGTATAAAAGTAATTTATTTTTAAGAACCTTTGTGTATCAGTTATCATTTATTTATAGGTTGAGTTAGTAATACATTATAAGCTTTTTTTGTATTAATTTAAAGGTCATTTACACAAACATATGTTTGTATCCAAACAGTAACTTAGTGTTGAACAATAAAACAAATGTCAAAGTACACTGAAGGCCACACTTGTCATCAGCTATTCAATTAATTAGTTAACATATTAAATTGCTACAAAACAAATGCCTGTAATGATAGTCAGACATATTGACTGTTTACAAAAGTAACTTATAATGTGGTCATTTTAAAAGGTAATGTGGAAATATTGAGTAATGATATGTATTGCATCATCAAATGGCAACAAGGCAACAACTACAACTCTTCTCAATTTCAAAACATCCTAATACCATTGACCATCATCGTTGTTTTTAGAATAGCTGTACGATCTCACGGCAGATGTTGTAAGTTCTATCAAATTTTGTCAAATTTTAAAAATATACAGTAAAGGTACGGAAACTTACGTGCAATCTTGATTGAACTGGACAAATATTCCTCCTGCATTAGATCCCTCTGTATTGAGACCTCCTTCCAAACTCATTGGAACGTTCTGAATTACAAGTTTGTTTTAACTACCAATATACAACACTGACATGTACGCACTGCGACCTTCGTTACCTGATGTTGACAGTCTGTTACTAAAATGTAAATAATAGAAACTGATTCTTCGTCAGAAAATGAATTTTTGACACAAAGAACGACCTTGTTTACAGCTAAAAACAAGTCCCCTCCTGCGCCAATCACAATCACCAACCAATATTCTCTATCATTCGCTGCAAAGTCATCCCCTCCACATCGGTCAAAGAGTAAGTGCTCAGTGCTCGTAGATATACATAATGAGATAGGCGATTGTAGTGATACATACTTCTTTTGGCAGCCGGCTATTTAATACTATTTAATAGTACTTGTCAGTTCACATTGCGTCTTTGCTAAAATAAAATTGTTAACTGACTTAAAATGTTTGTGTGGATAGTTGTTTTATTACCTATACATTTCAGATTGCAACGACCGAACTCTTATTTGTAACGTGTACTATGCAACTGTAACCATCACTTTCATGAAATTAAAGCAACAATATTTTAATTTGTAACGTACATGTTTACCTAAGTAATAAAGGAATTACTGTGTGTACTCAGAAATATATTAAGAAATTGGCTGTCTCATAATTTTATAACGTACAGTTCGAACCACTGGGCATAGCACCACATAGTTTGTGCTGTGTGTTGATTGTAATTTCTATTATGTTAAAACTATTCCTCCCCTTACTTTCTATAGTTAAGGATAAAAGTTTGCTACAAAAGTTCTTTAAGTATAGTGTCTTCTCCCTGACAAATGTAGTTAAGAGTATTTCCTAGTTACATCATAAGGTTTTGCGTTTTAATGTTCAAAAGGGAACAATTTCCCTTTAATGTTTCCCACATTATCTTGCTTAGAACCCTAAATTTCCGTAGGTGCCCCCTTGTCAATATCAAAAAGATGCATAAAATCCATGTATAGTCCCGCAAGGCTCTTGTGGCACCTTTTTGACATTGGCACGATTGCGCCTCTGAGCATTTAGGGTTACCAGCAAGGTAATATGTCCGCATTAAAGGGAAATTCTTTCCTTTTTAAAACGAAAACCAAATTGTAAAGGATGTACTTGTTCCTTACAATGTAACTAGAAAATGCCCCAGACTTCGTTTGTCGGTTACAAGGGTATATAGTTAAAGAATCTTTGTAGCAAACTTTTAGCAAAGCACTCTCTTGAGACAGTTAGGGAAGGGATAGTCTTAACATAATAGAAATAGTATTACTTAGCGCTCATCTACAGAATAATAGATATCTATCTAGAATCTAATAATGATTGTTGTTTAAAATCAACGCTTAGTACAACTATGTGGTATGGTTTGAACTATGCGTTTTAAAATTATCAGATATTTAGCTTTTGATACATTACTGAGTACACACAGTAATTTCCTTATTACGTAAGTAAATATTGTCGCGACGTCATCTATTGATGAGTAGCGAAAATCATATTTGAAGTATAATCGAGCTGTTTCCAGAATGTTCGCCGCGAATAGAGAAAATGATGTTCGGGAAAAGATGTCTCGAATATTTGAAACTGCTTTGAGAATGTTCTATTATGAAATTTATGTAATTCGGACTATCGAGAAAGTTCTGGAATAAAATGACAAATGAATAACGAAAAGAAGATCGAAATTCGGGGTATATATAGGGGTAAAGGGTCGGTCATTGCAATTTGAAATAGGAAATAAAACAACTTTCAGCAAATTTTTTTAAGTCCATTAGTATATAACATTTTTTTTATTAAATTACCAATCTAAAAATATGCGTCGCCTTGAGACTTAGGGAATTTTTTGATTAACAAATGGTAACAAATTCTGAATGCAAGACACAAGATGATTCACATTTCAAATGTAATTAATGGACCTATCTTCTTCTTCTCAGCGATAATAATATCTCCCACTTTAAAATAAAAACTCTCTTGCACTACTTTTAAACACTTTCATCACTTTATTTCATGGAATAACATTAAAAACCCACACAAAATGCATAAAGTACTGACACGAGGTGAACTGACAAGCTATGTCACTATTACCCTGACATTAAATGTCACTTCTCATTTCATAAAATTTGCCTGCTGCCCAAAGAAACTTGTAGGACTATACACCACCTCCGTGAAGTTAGCCCCTCACTTCCTTTTTTTAAACTTTTTTATGCAAATCGTTTGAGAAGCGTTAGAGAGGGTTTGAGAGAAAAAAATCATTTGAGAGTTCCTACTTTCTCCGTGAAAAAGCAATGTCAATTTTTAGCAGGAAGTTCGCCCCCACACTTCGTTTCTTTTTTTTGAAAATCGCTAGAGAATCTTTTGAGAGAAATTAAGAGGAAGAAATATTATTTGAGAGTTCTTACCTTTTCACTAAAAACTTTTTGAATTTTGAAGTCGATAACGATCGAATTGACTTTACTTTTCTCCGGATTAAAAATGAAAGTAATGGACCTAAAAGGATCAACTATTTCTCGTCCTTAGAGAATAGCCTGAGAATAATTGAGAGAAGAAAATAATCGTTAGAGAGTTGTAATTAAGTAAGAACTCTCAAACAATTTGCATAAATAAAGGAAAAAAGAAATAAAGGGGCTAACTTTTCCTACACTACTACCATGTACACTACTCTTTGATGTATAGTTCTACTTCTAACCGCCTGTCAATGTCAAAAACTGGAAAAATAATAGGTTATTTTCGTATTGTAGAATTAAAGCCTCATAATAAATATAAAATTTCTTAGAAATGGGCAGAAAAATTCCAGCAAAAAAACACAGAGGCGTTAAAGATCCGCTTATTCAACAAGCTAAACGAATACAAGAGTAATAATACCAGTTTGTAGTAGTTCTTAAAATGTGTCATTTGTAAAAACTAAAAATGTTCTGGTTACTGTTCGTTTCAGATTAAAAGGTAAAATAAATGCACCCCCAAAGGACCCAGACGATCAACCCGTGCCAAAATCTTTGACACAATTATTTGCTTTTGAGAATCAAATAAAAGAAAAAGGCAGTAACCCAAAGAAAAAGAAAAAGCAATACTCAAACGGTAATTAAGATTATAATAATAACATACAGTTACTCGTAATAACTAGTAATATTAAACTTGATAAAGTGTTGTTCAGTTAGAGATAACATCAAGTCCCAGAATGACAACCCAGTTGCAAAGCTGTTAAAACTGCCTGGGGAGACAGGGAGAAGTTTTACAATGAGGATCAACAGCGCCATAAAGGCCATTCACTCGCCCACATTGCAGGACCACTATCCAGTATGTATTCAACATTTAAAAATACCACAAAAATGCTTCTTGCATAATCTTTAAATGTTGCATGCTTTTTGTTTGGGTTGAGGTTGTCACTGTTATTGCTCATACTTATAAATGTATAATATATAATAAATGATTATTGTTTTATTAATTGTCAGATGTGTTAATGTAGTTGGACATTGAGGCAGAAGACAGCAAGGGTGAGCAGATGGCACTGCAAAGAGCACGTCGCAAAAGGAAACAAAACAAATTGATGGCCAACACCAGCGAGGAGCCTCCTGCTAAACTAAGCCGCGCTCAAAAGCTTGCTCTGAAAAAGAAGGCAAAGAAGGAGAAGGCTTTGGAGGTTTGATAATTGATGAACCAAACATGGAAATAACAATTTTAATATAAAAGTAAAAATTGAATTGTATATTGCATATGTATTCATCATCTTCCTCCTTATCCTACTGCCTTTGACACAATCTACCTCTCTACAAATCCTGTTTCTAGGTCTACCTCTATGTCTATTCTTCTCACTACTCTCTCTACTCTACTTCCACACTCATAACTAATGTTGTCCTTGTAACATGCAATTTATCCCACCTCATACATGCGCATACATGTATATGAAGTACATACACATGGTATAGAGCCCTTATGTTTATTGTTAGGTCCTCATTTAATTATTTCTAATTGTATGTGTGGAGTGTAGTCAATGGTGTTGTTCGCCGGCAGCGCGGGGCCGGGGCTGGGGGCGGGGGCGGGGGCGAGGTGCGCCGCGAGCATGTGGAGTTCGGCGAGGTGGTGCACGCGCCGCCCGCGCTGGCCGTGCGGCCGCGCCGCGCCGCCGCCGGCCGCGACGACCGCAGAGTTAGTCCTCACAAATCTATACTTACCTACACAAAATTATGGCTATTGTATATCCGACAGGAGTACTGTGCAGGCGCTCGGTGACGCCGCACTGCGTTGCGGGACGTCGGCGGGCCTTGTTCTGCTTATGTCACAGAACTATCATGTTTTTGTACAGCCGGGGCGCAAGGAGCTGTTGCTGAGCGCGATGCTGCGGGCGGGGGCGGGGGCGGGGGCGGAGGCGGAGCGGCGCGAGCGCGCGCGGCTGGAGGCCGTGGCGGCGTACCGCGCGCTGCGGGCCCGCGCCGCGCCCTCCTAGTAGATAACATTATAATATACATGTTTCACTACACCAGTTGTTTTATTAGTGGCCGGTTTCCCGAGTCCATTAAACCATTCGATAGTGCTTATAGTACGATAAATTCACAAAATAGGGCTCCGAAGTACGTAACTTGAGTTTAATCCGTGAAACCTAAGTTTTAACTAACACATTTCTGGTAACAGATATTCGTCATAACTTCACAGGTTGGATCGTGGATAAGCGTAAAGCATCACGAAGATAAAAACAAAAATATTGGAGGGTATTTCTTTTTCTTAAGCATGCCCTCTCCCACTGTGCTCTATTCTGATTCCCATCACTTCAAATTAAAAAGTAGCAGGAAGAAGCAGAAGAAGACTTAAATATGGTTTTTGATCGCTCACTCAGCGGTCGAAAGAATGAGTTACTTCCGATTTACACCTGTGTCGAAATTAATTCGGCAATGAACCGGTTCTAAAGTTCAGGTCTCGTAGACTTGAACCGTTAACCTGAGGTTTAACAACTAAATCAGCAACCCACGGTATAACGGGAGAGAACATGTAAGACGCGAGCTGCTTGTTGACTTGAAAGCCAAATCTTTCGAGAACACTCAAATCATACCTCTGTGCAGATACAACTTAGCTAGTTCATGTATTCCCCTTGAAATATAACCCCAAGGGATAATATGTAGTACTTATGTTAGCAATTTTGAACAATACATTTTTACATATCAATTTGTTTTGTTTTGAAAAGTTTAATTCTACAAATGACAACGAATTGACATTATAAAGATGTTAAATTTTTCATAGTGGACATCTATAACCCCCGAGGGGATAGCTGGACTACTCCCCCACTGATGCCCACTGACAATATATAGACATAAAACATGTTGGGTGTTTCATAGAGACGAGAATAGATCGGGCTAACAGATCGACTAACTCAAGTTGTCCGGTACTGAATGTTGGTGTCGTTTCTGTCGCGCCTTAACAGATGGCGCTGTGGCGGGACCAGGCTAAACTAAAACACGATGTAGAGTGTATTGTCTCGCCATATACATACTTCTCGGGTGCGTACTCTTTGGTTTTTGGTTGACGTTCTTGAGTTCGTTGTTATTGTTGTCGTTACGTTTTGTAGTAGTGTCTCGTTGCGTTGTTCAATTTTGATCAAGGTTTTGTCGGAAGTATTGATGTGCCAACTCGGGAAAAACGTAACTCGAGTTAAAATCCGCGTAACTCTGTTTGAACTCGAGTTACGTAATTCGAGTTAACTGGATGGACAAGTAAATGTTTTTTTTTTAATTTTTCCAAATTATATCCTCGGCTTGACATAAAATTGGAATTGCCAAATTGTATTTTTATCTGTTTCAATTCTTTATTTTGTATGTTATTTATTTATAATGTATTGGGAGAGTTATACCTACTAAATAAAGAAACAAAAAAAGTTATTGTTTCAAATCGAATCGTTTTCCAAGTATTTTTGGCTTGAATTTAAATAAAAAAAATTACTGTCAAATAAACTAAAATTATATAGCAGTCTTTTTCTCAACGATTCTCTACCGATTTGTGTGAGCAAAATTTAAAAAAGAATGAGGTGTGGGGGCCAACTTCACGTTAAAAATTTAAATTGCTTTTACGGAGGAACTCTTAAACGATTTTATTTTCTCTCAAACCCTCTCTAACAATTTTTAAACGATTTGCATAAAAAAAACAAAACCGACTTCCAAACAAAATACACTAAAAACAAAACAAAATGCACTAAAAACAAAACAAAATACACCAAAAACAAAAT